GGCCGGAGTTGACCTTGGAGCTGTTGGAATCTTAGCATAAGCAGCCCCGCTCGACCTCAGAAAACGCCTTACCGTCTGTGGGGACACGCTAAGCTTACAAATACGCACGATCTTGGTGCACGTGACGTCGGGATCCTTCGCAAACTCTCTCATGATGTGCCGTTTCTGCCTATCGGATAATACCGGCTTGCGCCCACGTCGCTCGGGAGGCTGGGGCGGGTAGGTCTGGGGTGCCTTCGCGAGTATCTTGCTGACAACTGGCCTGGATACTCCGTGGCAGCTGGCAATCTCACTATGGGTATATTTAGCCTGACCGTTCGGTAGGCGAGTGCTTCCCATGATACGGATGAGCTCCTGTGTATGTGGAGTAACAGCTTTAGCGCGGGGCATATGCGAATAGTCGCTCTGTGATCAATACGGATCCGTCTGAGATGGTGTTCTATTTTTTTGGAAGCGCGGAAAAATTGACCGTTTCAGAAATTTTACTAAGGCGAGCGAATAATGATACGACTCTAATATATTTTTGTTCCTACATAAGTGATACCCTCACACACGAAATCTCACAACCTGAGTCGCAGTAATAACAGAGAAATCGAAAAAATACGGTATGTTCTATTATTTTGTGAGGGGGTTTAGATGTGTCTGAGGATCGGCAACTCATGTCCATGGTCAGTAATCTTTCATTGTCGATTTTATGAGAAAACAGTTGTTTGGCCTGGGAGTAGGAATAGCCCGCTCGAGTGGGCGCATAGTACAGCACCATGTCTTTTTTGCAACCAAAGCAAAATAATACTTGTTCTTCCAAACACCCAACCACCAGGTGTTCCTCGCCACCTCTAAATAGACCTTTGACTTCACATAAGCTGACGCAGATGCCCTTGCGGAGATTGTAAGTGTATACCGTATTGAGCTTCCTGTCGAAAGCTGTGAGGCGGTCCTCTTCCGCAGAATAGTCGACGAGGGAGCCCTTCGGACAAGGTGGATCGAGTTCCATAACGAACCGATTATTCTCCAGCACCGACCTCAAGGTTATCCTCTCTTCATCAATGAAGACACCAACGAGCTCACCGTGGCGGACGATGAAGGCATCAGGCTTCGTGGTAATGCGGAAGGTCTCAGTGGGACAGCTAGCAGACATCTTGTGACTATCTGGTCCAATGAACCCTTGTATGATTGATGTTAGCTCCACCATCGGACCAACATTGCAGTCCTCCCTCGACCACAGAGACTCCATCATACGGAGGTCCAAGGAAAGAGCATCACGACGATCACAGAACAACATCAAGTGGGTAGTTACAACTGCAAGCATCAAAGAACCCCAGATTGTCTCGATGCACAGCAGCAGCGCCGCTCCTCTATTGAAGTTTGTACCCACGATATGGTGAGGATGAAATTCCGCATGACCACAGTGTGGTCACCACACTGATGAATGAAAAACTTGCTCAGAGATAGCCACGAGTTGAACACATCCGTCTGAGTATCAATCGCTTAGTCATTAGTATGAGCTAATGTACGAGGTTTAAATATAGAGGTTCAGCCGCGCGACTGTCATCAAACGATGGTGAATCGGAGGTTTGATTTTTCGTCGAGATGATCCATGTGTTACTCAACGATTCACACAACCGGAAGCTTGTCAGGAGCATACTACAGGTGATTCAAAACAGGTTCACCCCTCCGACGAGTTACGAGGGATACCCTCAAAACTCCTCGAGTTATGTGGATATCAGACAATCACAGGTACCGTTTCGAAGCCCTCGGTGAACTCTTTCCGACGGTACTTGAATCACTCACACGCTCTCGTCTAGCTATAGCGATACGAGAGAACCGTATATAGAGATATATGATAGCCGATCCCACTTCTGCCATATTTTCATAGCGCAATTCAGCCATATGGATCGTTATTCTATCATCTCCTAACCACGAAGGGTGGACGCTTCTTTTCGATCACCCTGAATCGTCACTGACGATTCGTCAGGACCATCACGTCAGCCTTCTAGCGGTTCCAGCTCCTCGCCCTCTATACGCCTTTTCAAGGCCTATTTCGCTCTGAGCGGATTTCCATCGGGCGGGGTGGCTATGCCATAACTCCAAGATATGCCTTAATACAAATTGTATTATACAATCGAGGATCAAGCGATTAGGGATCAACTTCGTCTGCCCGATCAAAGTAACTTCAATTTCGACGAATTGTGGAAGTCAAATACGCTGTTTGTGAGACCGATTCCCCCTGGGGCAGATATGCCAACCCGCCGCCTCCAACGCGGCGGCCTGACTGTCTCCTGACTGCGAGAAGTCTTATCAATCAAAATGAGCAACTAGATTGTCATCATAGTCTTCGCAACATGGGCGCCGCCGATATCGGTATGGCATATCTGCCCCAAATACAAGGTGTAATCGACGAACTCTCCTCAACGGCGAGAAATCTCCCGAATCCTGAATGCTTCGCCACCATCGAAGTAGTCAAAATCAGATGCCCCCCGAACACCCTATGGAAGGGAGAAGCGATCAAGGTAAAATTATCTCCACGGCCTCAGAGACAGCGCAAGGCTATCGGACTAGTAGAAAATCAGATTAGGTCGTACAGAAAAAGACTCTGGAGTACTCATGAATCATGAGTCATGATGATCACTCTTACTCTTCGATGACCTCGTAGCAATGAAGAAGCCATATGGTTGGGATTGGGACTGACCTCACAACATAGACAACGCCCCCTGACATCCTGCCTGCGAATGTGACCACGGAGTCGGAGACGATGGGGAGTTGGACAGATGTCTTGTGGGTAAGGTCAACGAGTCTCCACACGAGATGCTTACTGTCCGTACGGTCCTTCATGACCACTGAATCGTAACCAACGATAGCAACCGGCCCAACGATTGGCACTTCGTGAATCCCGCGACCTATCGAGGTGTAAGACTTCTTCTTAAGGATCTGAGGGCGCTTAGTGCCAGTCAGCGTCAGAGTGACGGACTCGTAACCAACGTCATCACAAAAGACAACTCGGAGTGAAATAGAGGACTCAGGGGCACGACAGGCCATAGCTATAGTATGAAGGCCATCGACTGGTGAAATAGACGTGACTCTCCTGGCCTGCGAGGATGATATACCTCCTTTCAATTCCGTATCGTAAATATCCAGATATTTCCCTTGGTCGAAGCAGAAGAACACATGGGCCTTACAGTACCCCATCGCTATGTGCTTTCCGCCATCCCGCGGCAAAGCTTTCACCTCACAGATGGCAACGCAGGAGCTCACGCGGAGATCGTATGTATAAAGCCTGTTGAAAGACCTACTGAAAGCTATGAAACGGTCACCTTCAGGGGCATAGTCGACGAGGGAGCCCTTCGAACAAGGTGGATCGAGTTCCATAACGAACCGATTATTCTCCAGCACCGATCTCAAGGTTATCCTCTCTTCATCAATGAAGACACCAATAAGCTCACCGTGGCGAACGATAAAGGCATCAGGCATCTGGGTTATATTGAAGACTTCGGTAGGACAGTTAGCAGACATCTTGTGACTGTCTGGTCCAATGAGCCCTTGTATGATTGATGTGAGCTCCACCATCGGACCAACATTGCATTCCTCCTTCAACCACAGAGACTCCATCATACGGAGGTCCAAGGAGAGAGCATTACGACGATCACAGAACAACATCAATTTGGTAGTTACAACTGCCAGAAACACATAGCAAGGCCTATGCTACAGCTGAGTGATGCGAGAGCGATTCGAGGGGAGCATCCGACCACAACTATCACAACCACCATCGTTACAACGCGGTCGTCATCACAAGTCAATCATGGATCAAACACATCAGCATGCTCATGTTCGATGACAACAGCCTCAGCTCCTTCCGGAGTGCGTCCCATCATCATCCACTCCACTCTCCTCCTCATGATGAGCCTCCTCATCATAGAAATTCCACAACCCCAAGCTCTGATCCCTAGCTGCGGTTGCGAGCTGACGGCCATCTGGTGACCAGCAAATCGATCGGACAGCTGAATGCAATTCCATGCAGTGACTGCTAAGGGCGAATGCTATGTAATACCCGCAGAATGCCCACTGGGGCTCTCAATCGGTGGCAGCTGCTCTGATGTCTTCAAGTCAAAAATGTAGACCTCACCATCCTCCGCACCAGCGGCCACATACCTGAGTTCAACAACTGTGAGTCCTTCATGCCCTTATGATGTCTACCTCCCATCGGGAGATATCGTCACACAGGCGAGCCGGGGCGCTCGAGGCACGAATGCTGAATCTACCATCATGAAGAATGACCAGACATCTACTGCTGCTATTTACCAAAGACACTTGCCCGTAGGCCAGCTACAGGTTCAGCATAGTCGATATCCCAGAACATAAGACGGCCGTCCACGTGGCAAGTGATGAGCTCATTCTCGGAGTCCAGTCGCTGGGTCGTACCACTGATTGGACCACCTACATCAGGATCAATAAAGGAAACTACTGTACAACAAAGGACCATGAGCTGATGTAAACTAAAATGATTAAAATCAGATAGAAGGGCTCAGCTGTCCACCGACCTGTCTTGCATGTGTGCTTGATTTGCGCCTTTCCAGCCTTCAAATCAAAGCTCACGATGTGGCCATCTCCCGCGGTACTGTGGACAATATGCGGAGCTGATACGTCCACCAAGACGGCAACAACACCGGTAGGGCAGGTCCTTAGAGAACACAGACTCCCATATCATCATCAAGGCCGTCGCTGATGACCTTGGATTATGCTCTTGGAACTGGATAAGGAGCTCTCTCGTATGGTGATGCCATACCCGAACAGCGCAGCATCCTGGACCACCGCCTGTCACCACGTACAGGGATGAACACGCTATCTGAGCATGCGGAGATATCCGCCTATCCACTTGTCAGAGAGCTTACAGTAGAGACCCTAGATCGATGAGCGTTGGGTATCTCCCATAGAAGATAGCTGTCATCATGCAAGTTCATACGCCAACACCTCACAAAGCCGTCCTCATAACTGATCGAGCAAGACGATGATGTTGATGCTCAATGTAGGCGGTCCCACCCGCATAGTGCCTCGGAGGTAGTAGTTGCCGGTCCCGCACAGAGGCACTCGATACGTGACTGGACCTGCTCTCGGGCTTTTCCACTACATCACCACTACGACTATCGGAAGATGGTATGCGATGTCTTCTCTACTGTACACTGATCCCTAGACATTCCGAGGATTAGCAGATGGAATAGTGATCGGGTTCTTGGCTCGATAAAGCACAGGAACTACCTTGGCAGTAGCGACAGGATTGAGCTGACCAAGGTCCCATAAGACAAGCCTCCCTAGGGAGGAGCCCGACATTAGATACTTACTCTCCTCTTTACCGAAGCCCACACAGGTAACCTGATGGTGGTGGTTGAATGGCTGGATGAGGATGAGGGTTATTACCTCTCCTGTGATACTGGACTGGATTAGGGATGCATCCAACGAGCGGGAGTCGATGCGCCATAGCTTACCGTTAGCTGATGTGGCGAGGAGGTCCTTACCAGAGGGCGATGGGGTGAGGCAAAGAATATCAGAACCTGAGCATGCCGCAACACGAGTGCACCCCCACCTAATGTGATCAAACTACGGTAGCCGGAGTGTGATGGTACCTGTCCCGACTACTGGATCTACTGCGTTCTCAGCCATAACATGCCACTGAGCATCCGACCCTTCAAACGATCGTATCTACCGTTATGTCATCAGAGTCCAACCTACTCCTAGAGCAGCAACTCACCTTTCCATCACCTCCCGCTACATAGAGCGACCCTCCAATCACAGCCAGGGCCCTCACCGTACCGTTACAGCAAGGCATACTAGCACGGTATACCTGATGCAAACCGGCTATGGTGAAGCAGCAGCAGGAGGTGGTGTTGGCAATGGCTACCATAGTATCCAGGTTGAAGATGCAGAGCTCT